AGGGTTCAAATCCCTCGACGATGACCTCAGCCACTTTCCGGGCTTGTGCGCAGCTGTTTCCAAAGGCACAAGCTCATCGCCTTCAAAAGTCTTCTCAAGACCGAGGGCACGATCGAGGATCCCCTGGAATCGAATACTTTCGGCTGCAAGCCTTCCCTCTGACCTTTCAACTGTCGCTTCAATTCCTCTAGGAGGGCATGCTTCTCCTGAGGTGACCCGCCCATGCTAAAGCGCTCGGCGCAGGTCTGGGTAATGCGCCCCACGGTCTTCTCGCAAGGCATGTACAATCCAATGGACAGCATGCGGTCCACTACAACCGACGCCCTGGCAAAAGCATGTTGCCGCTCGTTGGACAACAACGCGCGGTCAGTCTTTGTCAGGTAGTTGAAAAAGCCACTAAGCAGCTTCTGACACGCCCGGCCCCTCGGCGGTGTGTTCCCACTGCTGCCCGACAAGGCGACGTGCAAAGCAGCCTTGTGCTTGGCATTCAAACCAGAGGCATGGATGGACTCTGACAGACGTGTAGCCTCATCAAGGGTCAGGGAAACCTCTGTGAGCTGGCCTAATAGTTGCTGCACCTGTGTGCTTTCAATGGCTGCGTACGCTGCCATATCAAGGTTTTTGTTTTTCACCAAAAAGCTGACTGTCGCGGTCAAGGCGGCGCTCACTTGCTCCATGATCCAATGGACGAATGACAAAGGCGCTATAGTACCCTCTTGGGCGCTTGAGAGAGCACTTGCAAAGGCAATAACAAATTGAGGCGGACATGTGATGAAGTCTTGGTGCATTATACAAGACACAGAGCGCACAACACTATAGTCACGTCTGCGATCTGCAGCCCCACTCTTGAATCTACTGGCTATGTAGTGCCTCTGCATGGATGGCATTGCCACGCAGGGCTTGCAAATTTCGAGTCTGGTGAAGTCAGCCTCTGAACAAATTGCATCCTTCTGCAGTCGGGGCTGCGCTCTCAAGTGCACGCTGGATCAAGTACACGACTCGCCCGAGTATAGAGCATATATACCCTTGACAAGAGACATCGTTATAAGCAAAAAACAGTACACCACTCTCTTTAGCACAAACAATACAACGAAACTTTTTGCCACTACTACTTGACGCAATGGACCGCACCCTGGTCTCTTATCCGCAGGCTGTGTGCAACTCTTCGTTCTCAACATAGTTCTCTCTCTGTCTCTCTCTCTCTATATATATATCTACACTGTTGTTGCTCTAATATCAATTTGGGATACCCCCGCGAGCCTAAACAGGAAGATGAATACAGGTATAGTTCATGTTTGCGCACATGTTTGCTATATCTGCTGGCACCACACGTCCTACAGCAAATATCAAGAGCCATTCACAATCACTGGCAGGGAACACGCCGGCGCTCCATCAAAACGTCCGCCTCCATATCAGGTGGGAAGCTTGCTCGCGCAGGAATGCACACAGTGCGGGTATACACCTATGTCTCTATATCTCTCTATATATATATATATCTCTATACATGACGCGGACTCGAAAACCGTACGGGTGTGTATATGAACCTGTGGAATCAAATTCATGTATGGTCACCAAACCATAAGAAACATTAAAGGATGAGGGGGAAGCAAGCTTCAACCGTAGTTCACTGGCCAATGTGAGGTCTGGCTCCCACGTCAAATTCACAGTTTGTTACGAATTGGTTCTGCGTTGCCCAATGATATGCATAGACACCCGTGCTCAGCGTCAGGAACCAGACCCTAGCCACGCGGCGGGTCGGATGGCCTCCAACAAGGTCAGCTGGGCCTGGATCGCCTGCATACCCTCGCGCAGTGCCTGTACATTGCGGACATGCGTCATCGCCGAGTGCGCTGACGACCTCCGTGATACCTTAAGTGCAAACCAACTGCGCGCATCAAATTTGACGTAGTGACTGTAGAAGCAAGCAACATAGGTATAATTGCTGCGTAAAACATGTGATCATCAGCAGTGACGAAGCCGCCTGAGACATAGAAGCCTGGTCTTCCTGCAGGTGTCCGTGTAGGGTGAATAGAGGAATGGGCCCCTGGCTCATGCAAAGCGGATTCCTGCTCTGTATCATTAATGTTTCACTTGTTGTGCTTCACGCGTCGCTGTGCAGCTGCATCATTTGCCGCACACCACGTAGCCTTCGGCTGCTTGTTTTGCAAAGAAGGTTCTCCATCGTTAGCCCTCACGCAGGGTCGCTTACAAGTGACATTTGTTGTCAAGCACAGTGCGGCCGGCCGCATCCGCATCTGCAGTCATGGTGTCTTCTGCAAGACTCAACTGCAGGAATTGAGGATTCATCTACAATGGGGTGTTCCTGAGGTTGCACGTGGGGTGACTTCATAATGAGTGTTCACAGTAAAGCACAGCCTGCTCTGACAAAGCACGGGAGGAAAGGTGGCTCAGCTATGAGCTATATATGGAAACCAGGCGCTGTGGGATCCAGAGTGATACACCCCACATCACCGTGAAGCAGAGGGTCCTGTAGCACATATGGATGATACTGGGGCCACAACAGGTAGCATGACTTCATTGTTTCTGATTCGTCCAAGAAAATGCAAAGACACAACCATGACACGCGTTCACTTGCGTATTAATTCTTTCGGGGCTCCACACACACACACACCGAAGAGCGGTCCTGTGTATGTCCAGCACCTGTGACCATCATCACAGCGTCAATTGCAGGACGTCCATGCTGGCAGCTGGACACGGCGAGTGAAAACCCTGCCAGGCGAGTAAATATAACCCCTGCCAGGTCGAATATGTCTTGTGCACATGACAATGTACCGTCGTTGCATCAGCAACCCTGTCGCCTTCCACAGATCGAGTTATTGATGCTGTTGGCGTATACAGCGTACAGGTGTACAACATATGTTTGTTTCTTTGAGGCAGCTTGCAAAGGGGCCCTCATGGAGCTCAACATTGCAGACAGTTGTGTTTGTGTATCACACTGGTCCAGTGAAATCAGTTTCAACAGCATGTGACGGCGCAAAAGGCGCTGGTTCAATCCCTTGCAGTCGTGGCTCAGGTTGTCCCAGAAGTCTGCTCCCACTATAGATCGCCCTCCCCAACCATGGCTGCGAATGAAAGCTAAAGTCTCCTTGAAGATCCATGAGTCAGGACCGCCTTGGAACTTCACTACAAAAGTGAAAAGAAAGGGAACTGTGCCACTGCAAGGAGGCTGCGCATCACATCATCTTTCACATCTCCCCATGAGACGTGCTCCTGTCCAGTCCGCTTTCGAAATGCATTGATGCTTGAAGCCACGCGGCTTGCGATCTGCAGCT